TTTGTCTCTCCCCGCGGCGAATTGATGAGTTCTGGCAGGCTTTTCGTCAGGCCTAGAATTGCGTGGGTGAGTTGGCTAATTTCTTCCGAGGAAGCGGCTGTTTTGTCCTTGAGTTGTCGTGAAGCGTGTGCAGGCACCGCGTTGCGTTCGTCGGGTAGCGAATCCTTGTTTATCTGGTCTTCTTCGCCCTCGTCCTCAATTTCGTCGGCGAGGAGATCGTCCTCAGATTGTTTTGACATCGCTAATATCTTCGGCTTGAGGCTCTGAGCGAGAAATGGATGAAATTTCTGAAAATTTGGTGGGAGCGACTAGTGCTCCAAGCGACCTTGCCCGAAATCAAACTCGCACTGAGCTCGAAGTCACGTGACTTGCTATCTCATGTGATCTCAGAATGTATGCAAATGCGAGGTAGAATTAAGCAAGACTAGGGTCTGTCACAGCTGGTTTGAACCAGACTTGCTTTGTTAACGAAAAGACGTATAAAAAAGTTTTGTTTTGAATTTCATCTTACCAAAATAGACTAGGAGATGAAAACATGTGGGGGTCGTATATCCTGAATGGATACTTCCCTCGCGCGCTCTACTTGGTTAAAATATTTTACTATTGACCTGGCCCTGGTTGTTCAAACGTTGGATAGCGTATCCACCGGATAAATCACTATACAGCGGATAAGTATTAGGGAAAGCGATTAAGCTATCCGCTGGGTAGTGATTTATCCGGTGGATAGGGCTATCCAACTTTTAAACAACTGGAGCCTGGAGAGAAAGTCTGTATTCGTTCGAATGCACATTCCTTTCTGGCACGGCATGAAATCTATTTGCAGTTTCGTATTTTTGTTACGTATGTGTAAGATGTAAGGGGCGAAATATTGGTTGAGAAGTCGAGAGTTTGACCGGTATCGCTGCAACTATTGCTCTCTGACTCTTGCCAGTCCTGAAAGTCGAGGTCAATGGATCAATCCGTGGCTTTCTTGTCACATCGCGACGGCCATGTTGGTGACCAAGATAAATTAGGGGAGGGGTAGATGAACTTCTTACACCGTTTCAATTTCTCCGGTGGAAACTAAGCACATTTGTGCAAATGATTGCGAAGACTTTGTATGGAATTAAGAGGTCATGTTAGGAGTTTTGGAGATAAGAGTGAGCTTCACCAACAATTACAATAAGGAATTGCGGGTAATTGACAAAATAATTTTGGGGATAAAGGATAAGTTAAATATTGCTGTAAATAAATTTCTTGAAGAGGTCAAGTGTAACAATAATTCCAAAGATCTAAAGAACGAAAACATCAACAAGAAACCTGCCAACGGACTTTTGCCAAGGCCAAAAAGAGACAAAATGTTAAGAAAACGTCTACACTAACATGGCCGCCATGCCACGTGAGTGCCACGCCCGAATGTTTTGTACAGTATCAGTAGCGAAAAGCTAAAGCCAATGCTACTGGTAAGAAACAAACTTTTACAGCTACGTCGACAGAGGAGCCACTACTGGGACTTCTATCGACATAAGCAAACAAGGCCTTGGCAACAGGATGTTCTTGGTCAATCTGCCATGTCATACAACGAAGACTTCCCCCAAGCACGGGTATTTTGCCAGCATTGTACACAGGGATGATATCTTTGTTAGTGTTGTTCTTGAAGGCCGCAAAGGCTCTGTCATTGCTGGTCTGATTTGCAAAGAAGGGCAGATAAACAGCGTTGTTTGTCACCAAGGAGTTTGCATAGGAACCTTCGGCAGAGACAAATTCTTGTGTTTTCCCCTTCTTGGCATAGCACGGCAAAGGAACTACTGTGAGGTTTGGGAAGACGTCAAGAACAGCAGTCACCATGGCGTCGTAAAAGCTTGGTCCATCAGCGTCATCAAATAATGAAATCAAAAGCGTATTATTTTCGACGAATGTCACGACTCCATCGGCGTGTCCTGTAGTATCCTCTGGGTCTGGAAGGACTGCTACTTTTCTGTGTATAGCGGTTTCCAGCTTGTTGACGAATTCCTGGTGAGACATTGTAGGATTGTCATCATAAGTCCTGGCAGTGGTGATGGCTATATCAACGCCATTGTCCACAATGTTTCCTCCTTCCAGAACCAGATCGTTACGCCTGAGCTGAGGTAACCCAACAACTCTGGCAAATTTCTCGAAATTTCCCTCGTCAAATTTTGCCTGCTCGGATGAAATATACTGTGGTCTGTACTTAAATTTAACCTGCTGTTTTGGCATGGTGGGGGGGAAATCCCTCATCCACATATCTAAGGACTGTTTCGCTTGAATAAGACGGGCGTTGGTGAATTTGTGGTTTTTTAGGTACTTGACGCCTGACTCATCGTGGATGATAAACAAATAATCTCTACCTTTGGTCTTACCATCCATTTCGATAACAAAGTCGGCAATAAACTGCAAGTTATCGAGGTACTGGACATCGCTTTCACCAGGAAGTGATACAACAATGACTTGTTTCTTGCTGTCGGTACTGCCAAAAAAAGGAGAAGAGATTAAATATCGCAGCTTGTCACATGTTTGTGAGCCATTTGCATAAAGTACACTTCGTTGAGTATGATGGAATAAGGGGTACATTCTTTTATCAACTCTAGGGTCTATTTTGTACGGCCTCAAGACTTATAGTTTCGAGTAGATGTGATGATGGATATTTTTTTAAAACTAAATTTTAACAATCTTTGTAATTTGTTTGAAAGTTGGTTGTCTGTATATCTTACAGTTTGCGTAATTTGCTGGAATATCTCGGGTACCGGCTGGGGCCGGTTTGAAACACACATTGTAAACCAAGAACCAGAGAAGGTTTCGCGAGCAGTTTGCACTAGCCGCAACTGCTCGCAGGCTAGCGAACAGAAGACCCTGTGTTTCCTGATCAAAAACTTTGAATGAAATGCCTTCATGCATACATCTATTTGCACAGTCACAGTCGTCTCTTTCATTACTAAAATAGACGTCAAAATAAGTCTTATACGTTCTCCTATTGAAGAAAATCTAAGCAAACTATAAGCTAAATTTGGCATGGAGGACGCCGGAGTAATGAAGTTGGTATAATACCTTGACTGTCGAACGCCAAATATTCAGTGTTCCAAGATGTTTAAGTTAAACCAAAATTTTAAAATAGTTTTTGAATTACGGAGCGATGTTAAAAAAACGAGATCCCGGATGACCACCATGTTAATTACAACTAATCGAAAACTAAGTGGCGTGCTGTGAATTTAAATGAAGGTCACGCCATCTTAGAGAAGCAGATTCCGCGAGGAACAAATTATCACACTGATTTAACAATCACAAAATCTGTAGCACAAAAGAAGGATATGTGGAGATTTTTTTACAAATTGGTCGTTTCTATTAGCTGGTTAACAAACGAAGCAATAAAGTGTGGTGATATTTTTATGAGAAACCCATGAAAGAGTTCCATCTGCATAATATCTGTTCAAACTCAAGCTAAGAACAAGCGAGACATGTTCCCTGTAATAAAATCTCTTCAGCTCATTTCCTAGCTCTTGCAGTGATTTTTAAACCATTTAAGAATGGTTTTCCGCTTTTCGAGATCTTTCGTTTTGACAACAACATTAAAATAAACCTAATACATAATCAGATGGCACTTTGTTTTGTTTGTACTGTTCGCGTTGATTTTTGAAGAGTCTATCTTTTTGTCGAGGGTCGAGGGTCGAGGGTTCCATGTCGAGGGCGAGGGTACCAAGTCGAGGGTCGAGGGTAACATTTTTTTTTCCAAATTTTTTTTTTTGGACAAGGTAATAATCGATGCAATCAATGTCATTAAAACAAATAAGAAGAATTTAAAAAACAAATGGCGCGTAAACATCTTCTAGTTGTTCGGTGGAGGGGGGGGGGGGGGGTTATGGGGGGGTGGAATAGAGAAAAGCTCCGGGACATCCCAATTTGTTTTCGAACAGAACAGAACAGAACACGTTACTTGAAAACACTGATTTTTAAAAAAAATGTTGTAAACAAAATTTAAAGTGTCGTAAAACAAGAATGAGTGCGTTGAATTATGAATTTCTGGTCCAACCAACAAGAATGGAAGGAAAAAACTGTTATTGCGTTGTAAAATGTGTCATAATATGTGTCATAAACGAACAATGCAATCGTTGGAGTCTTTCTTTTTGCAGCTCGCATGGAAATCGCCACCCACTAACACAGAGGTTTAAAATAGAATAATGCCTGGTAGCGACTTTCGGTGAAGTGAACATCGGCATTTGCCGACGCTTTCCCATTAAAATACAATATATCTTTCTAGGCCACAATCGGTCATATCAGGAGCCCATCAAATGATGGGCTCCTGGTCATATATATTTGTGAACATGGACGTGGTGGACGTGAATAGGAAAAAAAACAGACGTACGGTCCATGTCTCCCATTGATCCAATTAATTGTTTTACATTTGACACATTTCTACTAAAGATCTGTTGTTTTGCCAAGTTGGACACAAGTTTTTTTTTCCCGAAAAAAAAATCGACTGTGTTGCAAATTCTGTTTAACTGTTTGAAATGTTACAATGTCTCACAAGGCCATTCCTGTACAATTTTCCGATCGGTCGGGCAAGAAAAAATGGCATTGGGTTTGTGGAGTGATTTTTGGTTATGTTTTGAGGATATTTTCCCTGGTATTTCAATTCAAGCTTTTTCTGTGATCTATTTTTCCGTGGTTTCTGATGTAAATTTACTACTTTTAACATCATGCAAGAAACTGGATAGTATATTCCAAGTCTGTCTTTTACGGAATTTTTTTTTCTTTAAATATTCATATAGTGTACACTCTTTTCTTCTTTTTTTGAAAGTTCGCATAATCGGTCTGCTTCGATCTGATCGCTGTTCGTGAATAAAAGCTCCCCTTTTCGTGCAAAATAGGAAATAATCGCTGAAGCCGTTGTGAAGAAAGTCTTTGCGCAGACACCTCTGATTTCTGTTTGAAATGCACACTAGGGATAAAGATGTGCACAAAATTAGTTTCGCCACATGACTTCCTATTGTCCCAGTGCCGCCACCAACTGCGCCGATAAGTGTTGGTTTTACGTTCCTTTTGTGTTTCAGGGTGTTTCAAATTTCTGCAGTGATACACTTTTTAAGCTGCAGAACATAACGTTGGTAATTAAAGGAGTTTATAGCATCATCCATCACTCTAGCTACGCACCTACGTACCTAGGTCACGATTTCCGGTGTCGGTGATTATCGATGACTTGTATTTTAAAATTTCATGGCGAGTTTCTACTTCATTGAAAGCACGACAATTCGGTCGCATACAGTGGGATGGCTTAAAAACAAGAATTGGTGAAATATCCATATTCAAACTACCCCACTGAACAGCCAAGCAAGGCAGAGAAGAGGCAGACGTGACTGAAATATAAGCCGCTAAGCAGGGGTACCCAACTCACGAACTAAAGAAAATCGCTTAGTTATTCAGATCCAGAAGGCACTTTGGAGAAAATTGGAACCCTTATTCAGCCGTAATAAAAAAGCTTTACGCTTCAAAAGAGGTCAAAGAAATTGCGCTTGCATCAGAGGGCAAATCCTGCCGACCAGAAAACAATAACTACAGTCAATCGATATATATGTCATGACCTCTCAGTGTGAAACATGCGGCTAAAATCACATTTGCTCAGTAAAAATGCAGAACCTTCCAGAGCATAATCTACATAGCAGATAAAAACAACTCTATTGTAATAAGCAGCATTTTGGCATGAGGAAAAAGTCGTGTAGGCCTACCACCCCCTTTTATTGTTATAAATGTAATTCTTCGAAAACAAATTGGGATGTCCCGGAGCTTTTCTCTATTCCACCCCCTCCCCCCTCCACCCAACAACTAGAAGATGTTCACGTGCCATTTGTTTTTTAAATTCTTCTTATTTGTTTTAATGACATTGATTGCATCGATTATTAAGAATTTGGAAAAAAAAATGTTACCCTCGACCCTCGACTTGGTACCCTCGCCCTCGACATGGAAGCCTCGACCCTCGACCCTCGACAAAAAGATAGAAACATGGAACCCTCGACCCTCGACTCTCGACAAAAAGATAGACTCATTTTTGAATGCCCACCTTTGAGTTGAAGCTTCAACCAATGCATGACCTCGGGTTAGAAAGATGAGACTTGACAAAAATAAGACATGCATAATTCGCGTGACTATCTGAGCTACCAGCAACACTGAACAACAACTTTGTTGACGATATCAAGTGAAAGCTGCCTTTGATGTTGCCGCTTTTGCAGGTGAGAGCGATAAGGTTGCATGTTTATGCACCATTTTACTCACCATACGCACCCTGATTGGTTGTGTTTGTTTGCACAGGCTTGACTCTGAAAATGTGAACGTTTTACTAGAGGTGTCAGTTTCGATCGATGCATAGCTAGGGTACGCTTCACCTGCATCTGAAGTCATCTTAGGGAAATCGTAAGTATCTAAATGGGAATTGCCACAATGCGGCCTTGAATTCTCCTTCTTACGGTCAGCTTATGTATTGTCTTACCCTTATCACGGCCAGCCTTTTCAATTGCAAATGAATGCATGGGCGTCAAACAGAAAACCGATGTCTAATTCGAATTAATAGCCCGAAATGCTTCGCTAGACCCTCTCTTTCCGAGGCTGGTTAACAGGCTTAATACCGGCAATCAATCGTTTACAATCTTTTTGCATTTAGTCGAAACATTGTTCAACATCTTTTGGGAAACAAACTTTGGAACCGTTTATTAAGCGAGGGTCATGTTTGGTGTTATAGGTGACACAGCCCAGAGACGTCATGAATGTCCTCCTTTCAGTCGGTCTGATCCTTTTGGCGAGAGGTCAATCACTTGCGGAAAGGTAGGTTTGTTAAAATCTTACTTGATATAAGGGGAGGCTCTGCCCCGAATTCAGACTCCTTAACCTTATTTTGACAGAAAAGGTACCCTTTCGTATACCTTCCTTTGAAAAAATGGTCCCCCTTTTAAAATTACTGGAGCAAATACACCGATACGGTCCGTTTCCGTTTATTAGAAGATTACTGGAAAATAGAGCGTAGCAAGGAAATAATAATCCAATTCTCTGACACCCTTTTATCGAAGATCAGATTTAATTGAGACAGTTCCTCTTTGAGGTCTTTGAGTTATGACTATTTAAAGTGACCACTGTTCAGATCGCGTGACCCGGTACCTAAATTTTGACCGGTCGTGTAACTCACGGGTCATCTGTCATTCTTCTCAGTATAAAGTGACAACTTTAGTAAATAGCAAGTTGACGTGTTATCAAATATTTAACAATCTTTATAAAATCCTGGATTCTTTTTTAACGGTGACGCGTTTGGGGGAAACTAGCCTGTGAACGCTTTTCGGGAGGAGAGAAGCGACGACCGGGAAATACGGCTGCTTTCGCAGGCGAGGGGGCACTCACAGATGAAAAAAGGGGATGCTCTTCGTCGCGCTCAGGTCGCTTGAGGTGTTCAGGACGGAAAGCCAACATTGTGTACAATGGAATGTCCATTTTTCGAACCACTGTGAGAAAAAGCAAATTGTAAACATTTATTGGATGAAGTTTTTGTGATATCCGGAATAATCAAGGTCGCAAGTGAGGCATTGGCCAAACGTCGAACGTTTGGGTCGACCTAAATTAAATTAAGTTAAGATCTTCTGCTGGGTTAGCTTGCGTAGCAAGCGTTTCCACGCGAGTTCGTCGAGAAAGTTGGGACGAGAGCAAAAAAAAAGGAATGACCTCCACCTGGGCTCCTGCCTCCACCATTTTTTTGCTCCCGCTCTAACTTTCGCGCAATAGGGACCTTAAGATCCGACGACGGCGACGGCAACGGGAACTTCAAGCTAAACAATCTGAATATCGGCCAAGCACAGTTTGCGTATGCCGGCCGCGTGCTTCTAGATTACCAGGCGAGGAAAAGATAAATTCGAATTTCAAAATTGTAATCGATAAACAACCGCAAACATTCAGTCTCCATTGTTTGCGTGTTATATCTTTTAATCCTTCATGGAAGTGAAATTATGGAATTTTTAATGCTTGGAAATTGGGCATAGGATTTTTTTGGTGGTTAATTTTTTGTCCCGCGATTTTTTATTTTGGGGGGTTTTGTTGGAAGCTGTAGGGATCATCCCCGTCACTTTAACTCCGGAGTGCCCCCATCTACCCGTGGGATGTTGTGCTCAATGACTGGCTTTTATAAAAACCCCCTTGTGGCCGATCTGCCCAACTAATTTGTTCCTATTTTTTGCAGCACCGGCGGCAAAAAACAGGTCATAGTTTTGTCGCTTCCTGGCGAGGATGAGGAGTATTATCGCCCCTACTTTTGGGATATTGCCAACTTTGCCTTTGAAATGGATCTCAGAACTAAAGGCAGAGATCACCTGTTTATCGTCCACGATGAAACAGGCCGGAAATACTTCCAGAACCGCACGTTTACCCACGCTCATTTCATTGAAATGGCAAAGCCGTCTATGGACGCGTGGATGAGAGATTTTCCCCCCGCCATGCCAAACCAACAGGTCAAGTTTACGTATAAACCACAGTACCTTACGGCTGAGCAGGCCAAATTTGATGAAGAAAGGTTTAAGAGGTTTGCGACCCTGGTGGGCTTGCCTTCGCTGAAGCACAGCAACATTATTCTTGAAGGAGGGAACATTGTGGAAAATGGAGACGAAATAGCCATAACCACTGAGAGAGCGTACCATGATAATCCAAATATATCTCACCAGGAACTCGTCAAGACGTTGGAAGCTGCTATCAACAGAAAAGTTGTGGTTATTCCAGACCCAGGAGATGCAACTGGACACGTTGACGGCGTCGCCTCATTCGTAGAGAAAAATACTGTGTTAGTTGGGTTAGTAGAGAACCACCCCAATGGAAAAGCTATACACGATAACTCGATAAACGCTATTCTTAAAGTCTTTCCAAATCTCACTGTTGTGACTCTCCCGTCCTATTGGGTAAACACCACTACCTGGGATGGTTTTACAAGTGCTGAAGGTTGCTATGCCAACTCTTTAGTGACCTACAATGCCGTTTACCTACCTTTCTTTTCCAATCAGACGGGTAACGAAAGAGCATTTGCTGTCTTCAAGAATAGTACCACCAAAGAAGTCATCCCTGTGTATAACACCGGCACAGTACCCGTACTCGGAGGAAGCCTTCGTTGCATGACGTGGCAGATTGACGAGAATCACCCTGTGGCTCAAGCATTGTTTGAATACGTGAAAAAGAATACGTCCCCTAGTGGATCGGCTTCAGTGGTCACTGCACAGATTGCGTGGATCGCAGCCTTTGTGCTGATAGCTTTTGCTTTGGCTTCTTCCCATTAACTTTGTTTGAGCTAGCTGTCTCATGTTTAGATACCTTATTGTAAGTCATTGCAATAGTTCTTGCATTACTTCTTTGATAAACGGGTTATACACCCGGGGGTACTGTAGGAATTTTTGGGTGGGGATTTTCCTCTTAGACCCTGGAACCCTAAGCCTATGCCAGGGCTAGTTCAGCGGAATTTTGCTACCCTATACTAGACTAACCTCTCCAAATCCCCCCCCCCCCTTCCTAGAGTAGCTTTTAGGCTGAGTTGCGCAAATTTAAACTTGCCAATTGTAGTGGCAATTCCCGGTTTAGTCTAGACTAAAATCTTTAACCAATTGATCAGTTTCCTGGAAAATGATACCCTCTTCTAGACCCATACTCCCTGATTAATATACCCTGTCCCAGACTAAATTTCTTGAAAACAATACCCATAGCCCTTATATGGCAGTACCCCCCTTCCCCCACCCAGTGGGGTTATATGGTAAAAAAGACTGAAGAGACTAAGGCTACGTTCACGTGGCATCGTGCGAATTTTCAATAGACCGCTTGTAACTTCGTAAGTTTAGGTGTTCTGTTCAAGCGGAACCACCTTAACTGTACACACATGTAGACAAGGGTCTGAATGAGAATTGGTGTTTAGTGTTATTTGCCCGTAATATTGAGTGTTTGCTATTAAATTGGTCAGTTTTTTAATGTTTACTGTTTCCGAAGAAAATACCGTTAAGTGATTGGAGGGTTCTTCGGACATCTTCGGCAATGGTCGGACCTCTTCGTTAGTCTTGGAAAATCTTCGACAGTCTTCGGGAATCGTCGGTAGCCGTCGGAAATCTTCTAAAACCATCTGGAATTGTCGTAAAATGGCCAAAAACTCCTCCTCAAAAAATGAAGTGTTTAGTGTTATCGAGGTACCCCCATTCAGACCCTCTTAGACGCCTACCCGAAAAGCTCCGTGTGTCAGACAGAGCGAAAATATCGAAAGGTTCTGTGTGAACGAAGTGTCCGGTCAAATGTGTTAACAGGTCGAAAATTGATCCGTTGCCCTGTGGACGTGGCCTTAGTCTTTCCCATCTTTTTTCCTTATAACCAGTTTTATCGTGAAGTAACGGTTTATAGTTTCCATGCCCTCGGTTGATTTTTGAGAAACTCGTAACAAAAAGACACGTAAATCAAAATATAATAAGAGTGTGATATACAATATTATGAAAAAGAAATCAGGTCAAATAAAAATTTTGTTTGTTAACTGTTTCAGCACTGTCTGACACTGTTTCCAACAGTTTAATTGCATGTACTTCCTTATTCGTTTTCCTCTTGAATATTTTTGCCAGGGTTGAGGGTAGAGTGGACCCCTAATACAGAAGTAACCCTCATATAAATAAAGAAAATTTGGAATACGACAAAAATTCCCCTCTACTGTGGCAAAATATATAACACAAGACGCTTACATTACGAACCCCTAAGTCCCTTGGCACCTTGTTGCATCGGGTTTCCACTGTGATGTTGTTGATGTTTTTCCCAACCTTTGGCTCCACCCTTTGGTTTGATTTCTTTCAACTTTGCATGCCAATAACCCACGTTGTTTGTTCCTCGCAAAGCGAAGGCCTCAAGGCCTTTGCCTACCGAGGTTTAATAAAATTTGTCCGAATTCGCGTCGCTCTCCTAGATCGTTTAAATGTCTTTCACGTCCCAATCTCATAATTTCATCAGTGCTAAAAATAAAGGATATACAAATTCCGGGTTTTCTCTTAGCTAGGGCAAAGTTTTGTTGGCTGAGATGTGGTTTAATTGTCTGACCCTGAACTGGCCCTTGTGAGGTTCCTGAGGTCAGTTAAGTCGGTTCTGCTCAATACATCTCATGCACATTGCCGACAAAGGGAATTTTTCATTAAAATATTCGATCACTAGCAATGCACTTCTTGAGTGTTCAATGTACTGTCCAGATCATAGCAGATATAAGGCTAGGAGAGTGATTTAATTATTATTTCCCTCTCTCTTATTCAAGAGTTACATTGCTAAGTGCCCTAATAAATGGAAACGTGAGCGAAATAAAAAAGGCCAAAATTTGTTAAGATAACAGGATGGAATATTGTTTATCCTACAAGAGTTGGAAAATAGAAAAAGGGCAATTTGTTTGCCAAATGGCCGAAATCAATTAACTGAGGCAAAATCCACGTGGCCGAGTTGTTAAATGAACTTTGCCTGATGAGAGGTGATAAGTTAACAGTCAGGACGTTTGATTGCGATCTTTCATGTCCCTTAACGACTTACATTACACAAGCCAAACTGACCTACAAAATCCCAATGCGATTTTCTTGTTGTAAAGATCTGAATTCCCTTCAGTGGGTGTGTTAGGGAAAGAAACGACATTTTTTTCCCCGTGTTTTCATGCGATTACCTAAACTATTTTTGTGAGCTCACCTTTCAGTGTCCCAAAATCGTAGCAGTTTTAAAAGGGTCGTTCTGGTTGAGTTTTTGTTGTAAAAGAGACTGGAATTTGTGAGCGGCCTTTCTGGCCTTTGTCCATTAATTGTTTACATAAAATTCCAATTTTCAGTCACCTTCAAATCTTAATTTTTCCCTTCCACATATTTTGTAAACATGCCTTCCTCAATTTTTTGCTTCATTGAAAACGTTCTGAAAATTTTTAGTTGTTCCATTCATTAGGCCAAGCAAGGACGTCAAATAAATGGAGGCATTAAAAGGGGAAAAAAGTCGGCGAGATTTAACAGGAGGATTTTTTTAAATTTCTTAGGACAAGCTTTTTTGGCCCTTAGAAACATACCTCCCTTAATGACCTTTGACTACATTTGTCTTTTTCCCCTTGACTATTGTCACGTCACCTCTCGCACATTTACCCTAACTTATAATGACCAACAGCATTTTACGAAAAGTACCCGAGGTGTGGTACTCAAAAACTAAATGGTTCGGTAAAATGAGCAAAACATTAATCGCAAAATTATGAAGCGGCCGCTCAGGTTAGCCGGCTATTAATGCCGGGGTAGTGTTGAACCATGAAAGAATTTCGCCAGAAGGAAAGCGATAAAGGAAAATTAATGACACATACCACGTATGGAGTAAATAAGATATGGAACAAGGCAGAAGCCGCCTTTCCGAAGTGTTTTCTAATTGCCTTCGGCGTATGAAATGTTCGGTGATTGAAAGTGTGTTAGCATAAGTTGCTTACAATTTTCTTGTTGGTTAATTATTTTACAAGTATGTTGAAAATAAACCCGTAATATTATTTCCGCTTAAATCTTATACGAACGCCTTTTTGTTTTGGTTGTTCTTTTCATCATTTTTTTTTCCTTTTTTGCGATTCATGAACGACTGAAAATGGCTTCCTTGTTATTTTGGGGAAAAGATTCTCGAAATATTCTCTCGTGACATTTCGCCAAAGAAACTGTTCTCAGATATGTTTAAAGAGGTAATGTCACGCGAATATTGGTCAATTTTGTGCTAGTTTTTTAACAGGATAGTAAATACCGTGAGTCAGGACATCTTCGTAAACCCGTCCCGTGCTCATAAGATTATTCTTCAAATATTTCTACGCGCCTGTTTAAATAACACTTAAACATCTTAAACCCTAGTTGTTTTGTCCTTTCCTGGAGTCTCTAATTTTTTATATTTCTAAAACGTGGGTTTGCTGGTGAAATATTGTTAATCCCGGCCGGTTCAGATCAGGGCTGGGAGCCGTAAAATTAAACCCTTCCAAGGAACCGGAAGATTTCAGAGCTTGTTTAACCTCACCCCTGAAAAGTTGTAATGGTTAGGTTTATCTTAAACAAATATCATTATGTACTAGAAACCGTTTCTAAGCCGTTGGGAAAACCAAGCACTACTGAACTATTTTTGGAAAACAAAAACATCAACATGGCAACGAAATGAAACATCTAAAAGTAATAGTCACACTCCACAACTCTATGCAGTATTGCCAGTACTTATGCATACACACAGCCATATCACTCGGGCAGAAAAAATGGCACGAAAAACTTCGAAAGAAATGTGAGATTGGCTTTTGTGATCAATTATTAAAACTACAACAATTACGAACACTTTCTACTAGCGACAAAATATCGTGGAAAAATACGTGCTCGGTGGTGTTCAGATTAAAGTAGTATAAGAAGAAGAATATTTCATAGGTAACAATAATTAGCAGGTTAGCGAAATGGAACCTTTTAACATTGAGAAACAAGATAAACAGAAACCAATAGAAAGACGTGTGTTTGCCTAATTCACAGCACTTTCATGATGAAAAACAACAAAAACTTACGCGGCTGACTGAGTAGTTGTTAAGGGGACTGACCCGGCCCGTTTCAAGGCTTCGCTGAGTTGACTAACCTTTAACGCACACCTCCGTTCCTTAAACAGGGGACTTTGAGTTGATTATTTCATTCTGTGTCTTTTTAGAGAGAGTTGACAGTTTTGGGCATAAGTGTGGTTTTTATGCCTTAGCGACTCTTCTACTCCTAGACTACTTTAAGGGGAGATAATTTGTCACCTCTATAACACTTTTGAATCGGTGGACAAATCCGAAGGTGATGCCTCTCAAATGAAACCTTAAGGCAGAAATTTGTATCGTACTATTTCTTTATTAAGATTTTACTAAAAGGAACTATGCTTTGTGCGAATTTTTTCTTCGGACATAAAATAGAGTGAACTAGCTAGACCAAATCTGATTCAGCCTCTCCTGGAGCCATTTGAACACAATTAAAGCCAAAAGAAGCCTATTCCAGCCAACGCTAAGCCCTAGTCCTAGGTAATTGGACTGTGATGGCCCTGATTATGGCAGCCAAATAAGACCCAAGAAATGAACGCACCCAAATTTAGGGTTTAACAGATATTTTTGATTTACTATGAGCGCGCGGTTAAAAGCTCTTAAGAAGTAATTTAGAGTGATGTTCGGATTATCACAAGTACAAGCGATTGAAGAGTTGAAATTGATTAGTTGTCTAAAGTAAGGCGAAAGAAATAAAGTTAGTCAATGGGACAAACTATAAATGATGTTTACCAACAACATTTCGACTGCATGAACATTACTCACACGGCGTACAATTTGACAACTTTGTTCAGATGCTAAATATTTTTTTTTACGTTTTATATTAAACTGCAAATCCTTGTGGCCGGTGTTCTTTCTTCCTATAGTTAGTTTGAATTTTCGTTAACTGTGTAATTACAAATGATGGACAACAACAATAAAAACGGTACAGGTGTTTGCACTTTTTAATAATAAACCACTACTGTAAATGTCAGCTGGACAAGAGTATGTAAACTGTCAAAAATCAAAAAGAACAATCTAGTTGATCATTCACCTCTTAGAAAATTAAAGGGCACGCAGCTAAACAAATAATGTAACAATAACTTTGAAACAAAAATAAGCTCTCCAGTTGAGTTGCTGTTTAAGCCAATCACAACACAAAAACTGGTCATTTGTCAATGATTGGTTGAGAAGAAACAGTAAAAGGCTACTTAACCTCACAGTTTTACTGTCGAGATAAGGATAGGTTTGGAGAGACTTTTGGGATTGAGATTAGCCAATACAGCGCCATGCGTCTCCTGCTGTTTTTTTCTTTTATCCTAGTCTCAAAAGGATTCAAATGGTAGGATTTCAGTTGACACAAATTTGTTCAAAACGTTGCATGCTCGTTCGTAGGTCTCAACTCGAGCCGGATTATAAACGGATCAAAACGTTTTCATAGGCATGTTTTTGTCGCAGATATTAATTCAAGTTTATAAATAATGGCAGAACAATCCAAGTTGCCATTGCAGCCTTGTTTACTGGATATAGGTCGTAAATGTTGACAAAATAGTACGATTATTACTCTGAATTTTTTAAAAAGTGATTTTATTCTTTTAAGACGTAACACATTGGCACTGAAGTAACGAAAATCTGACAAAAGTGCATTAGTTTTAAAGAATATTATAGCATATATATTTTTTCTAGGGCCACTTTAATAAAAATTTTACAAGTGTAATTTACAAGTGTGGCCATTGTTTTAGAGTTTGAAAACAATAGCTACACTTGTAAATTACACTTGTAAAAGTTTTATTAAATTGACCCCTGCCTTGCCACACCAACCTTACGTGGAGTTTCTTTATACTTGTGTTCAGTCTGAAATTATTTTCTCTTTTAGTAATGAGAATGAGAACGAAAAGCAAGTGATTGTTATATCACTTCCCGGTGAAAAAAATGTTCAGTATCTTGAGCAGTTACAGAACCTTGCTGAGTTCGCCATTGAAATGGACCAGGTGACACAAGGCAGGGATCATCTGTTCATCATTCACGACAAGTCGGGCCTTAAGTACTTTCATGGCTACACCTTTGTCAACGCTTACCTCATTGAAATGGATGAGTCACTGGATATGTGGATGAGAGATTTCCCTCCCACCATGCCAAACCAACAGATCCAATTCACGTACAACCCACAGTATCTCTCCGATGTCCAGGCCGAGAAAGATAGTCTCGCTTTCGAGAAGTTTGCGAGAATGGTGGGGCTGTCCAAAACTTTGACGCACAGTAAGCTTGTTCTCGAAGGAGGGAACATTGTGGAAAATGGATGTGATAAAGCCATTACGACTGCGAGAGCCTTAGACGACAATCCGGGAGAAAAGGATTTCATCGCGGAACTGGAATATACTATTAAAAGAACAGTGGCAGTCCTTCCAGACCCCGGAGATACTACCGGACATGCTGATGGCCTGGTGTCTTTTGTAGAAAGAGATGTGCTCCTGATCTCCGAGTTTGATGACGCCGATGGAAAATATTTTTATAAAGCCATGAAAAGAGCTGTTCATGCCGTTTTTCCAAACCTCTTCATCGCTCCTTTGCCGTGCTATATAAAGAAAAGCACGTCCCATGGGTTTAGTGCCGCCGAAGGTTCTTACGCCAACTCATTGGTGACAAACAACGCAGTGTATATGCCCTACTTTTCCAGGCATGAAAGCAACGAAAAGGCCCGTAAGGTGTTCCAGAAGTATACCTACAAAGACGTGGTTCCCGTGATAGCTGCTGGAAAAGTGAATGTTCTTGGGGGCAGTGTACGTTGTATGACATGGCAGATCGACAAAGATCATTCAGTGGCTAAGGCATTGTTTAAATACGTGGAAAACAAGCGAAAGAGATCTTTCATCTGACGGTCTCCTTAAATTTCGTTCCATCATTGTTCAGTTGTCCTGAACTGTTTGATTTCTCAAAGTTTTCACGAGAAATGTAAGCCATTTAATTATTCAACCTAAGGTCTGTAAGGGTTGTTGATTTTGTATGGAGTATATGGGTAACATATTTGATAAGAGCTTTAGTCAGTTATAAATGATGTGATTTGTGAACTTATCCATTGCTTGTTTTGGCAAGTATAACAAATAAAGAGTGTTCAATTACTTGTGTGATATGATATGCATAGCTGTTAGTTACCTCTTTACGTATCCAACAATTACGGTAAATCGGTTAAAAATATTGTTGAACAGAACAGGATTAAATTTCCCTCCAGTATCTCCCTTTTTTTGCTGAGATAGAATCGTAATAATCGGTTTAGATTACCACCGAGCTCTACTGTACTTGTTATTTTCCCCCCATGCTCGAATAAGCGACGCATTTTTCTGATTAGGAGCGGCGTAGGGCGGCGCTTAATCGAGCAAATACGGTAAGTCATTGATAGCCTAAAAGAAAAGGGATTTGCAATAATTTTCCCTCCCCATTTTCGTTGTAACAGTGCCACAGAACCGTAGCCTAATTACGGGCTACTTCTTTATTTAGATAAGTTGAAAATTGATCCAGACGTTAGACTACTTCAAATTAAAAACTGAGAGTTAGCAGATAAGTAACTTCCTGGGACAATTATCACTTCAATGAAAATTCTTACAGGCATGAATCATGCATCCACTTCCATGGAACATGAAAACAAGATACCAAAAAATTCCACAGTAAACAGTCCGGAATATCCCTAAATTTAAGAACAGTTGTAACGTTATAGAGCTATTGTTTTAGAGTAAAATGGCGTATAGATTACCTAAACGACCACAGTCACCGTTTCGAGGCTCTCAGGCATATTTTAAAGACTTTTCATGAGGCATACACAATTTTTTTAAGTGGACAGCGCATCGGAAGCCACACTGGAAGTGTCTTGGGAAATATTCAGCACATTTTGTGGCTTATTTCTTTTTTTAAACAACGCGATATTGGCGAGATTTTGGTCGGTTCAAGGTAGGTGAACAAGAATCTATTATTTTTTCGGTTCACAGATTTTTTACGAAGTTCTAGATATTTTTACTCGATTGTCGTATCGATTAACTTTTATCATGTCGAATGTGGGGATGGTAGACAACCTAGAATTTTGGTAGACAATTTTTGAATTCCGAGGTCCAAAACACGTACGTTTTCTACTTCCGGGTTTCACGTAGAGCCTTGTTATTACTTTTTTTCGCATTACTACGAGCCTTTACCTTTTTTCTTTTCAAGGCCAAAACAACTTTATTAGTCTTATGGATATTCACGTCCAACATCTTGCCTCACTTTGGCGAATTTGCGGGGATAAAATTGAAGATCATAAGCGCAAGGTAGATACTAACCGCTTTGTTTCTGAAATTCACCAAATCTGGAAACTGTTCGTCCACAGTTAAAAAAAAATCAAAGAAAGAAGGGAAATTTCAACTGTAAATGATGTATTTCGCTACTCATTGAACATGCACTGATTATCTGGGATAAAGTTAAAACATTGCAGGTACGACAGCAAGCAAATAAAGCACCAGATGTGTGAAGTTAACACGAAACAACACAAAAAAAACAAACAAGAAAAATTAACAAATTTGAACTACTTTTTATTCTTGTTATGATGACTGGTTCTTTGATTCTTGTCCTGTGGAAGTTAATAGGTCATGCCAATCCTATTTTGTACGATCTCGACCAATCTTCGCACTCTCTCTAATCAAATCAAATTATCAAATCAACTTTATTGGTACATCCAATTAAAATGGGTTTTCACATACCAATTACAATAAAATCTAATATGAACAATAGAAATTCAATATAAACATTTGAAAGTGAAAAAACATTACCATACTATTTAAAAAATATAAAATATGCATAATTACACCTATTGAGTGTCAATGGCTTAAAAACTCGTCAAGGGCACGTCCTTTAATCGCATTCTTAAAAACATTAAATGACTCTATGTTTGCTAAACTTTCTGGAAGGTCATTCCAGAGCTGAACAGCCCTATATGAGAAAGATCGCTGACCTGTTGCTGATCTAAAAGATGGTACATGAAGTTTATCTTTATTCCTAGTATTTCTAGTATGCATCTGCCTTCTTGTCGAAAACTTATTACACAAGGATGGTGGGGCTAATCCCTTTATACATTTGAAAGCCATTAAAATGTCTCTAACCTCCAGTTGCTTAGCAACCGGCAACCAGTGGAGTTCCTTTAACATCGGCGTGATGTGCTCATACTTTCTTGTGCCAGTCACAATCCGTGCCGCAAAATTCTGAACTTTTTGAAGCCTAGCAATGTTCTTTTTTGTTGTACTAGACCACATGGAGGAACAATAGAAAATCTTGCTGAACACTAATGAATTTATGATGGTTATGAGCGTAGACCTATCAAACAAATGTTTCACACGATTGATTTGGCACAGGCTACCTGTACACTTAGATACAACATCGGTCACATGTTCGTCAAAACTAAGGCGCGAGTCCACGATGACCCCCAAATCTTTTGCAGAACGAGACGGTAGAATCTCCTTACCGAGTAGCGTAACTCCAAAACCCTCCGGCACACGAGCTAACATCTGCGGGGTTCCAAGAAGCAATAACTTAGTCTTATCTGGATTTATCAGCAAGCTGTGTGTGCAACACCAGGCGGCAATCCGTTGCAAATCTTCGGATAAATGTTCCACAGCCATGGCTGTCTCCTGGACAGGAAACGAGAGATAGAGCTGGGAATCATCCACGTAACTCTTTAGTGAGCACAGGTTAGGGACAGCTGGAAGATCGTTGATGTATATATTAAAAAGGGCTGGTCCCAAGATCGACCCTTGAGGTACACCATAAGCTACCTGGCGAGGATCTGACACCTCACAACCAATCCTCACCCGCTGATTCCTGTCCGTCAGATAGCTTCTAAACCATTCCATGGCCTGTATAGACACACCCAGTTCTCGAAGTTTACGTAATAGGATCCCATGCTCGATACTGTCAAAGGCCTTTGACAAGTCCAACAGAACCAACGCTGTGACTTGTTTTCGATCCATTGCTTCGAGAATCATATCGGACATGAAAATATGGAGTGTTTCTGTCGAGTGCTTCTTCTTGTTTCCATTTTGATGTTCAGTTAAACAGTTCTGACGTGTTGTGTACTCCGTTAACTGATTAAGAGCTGCTCGTTCGCAGATCTTAGACAGAGCGGGTAGCAGTGATACTGGCCGGTTGTTATTAGCAACCTCATGATCTCCTTCCTTTAATATCGGTATCACCACGGACTCTTTCCAAGCAGATGGAAAAACTGATGTTAAAAGCGATCTATTTATAAGCTCTGTCAGAACTGGAAGTATAACTGGTAGGGCATCCTTGATCACACTCATGTGTAACTTATCCATTCCTGGTGCCCTGTTTAAAGGAAAAGACAAGATGATCTGGTGTACCTCAAAGGTAGTGACTGCGCGGAATCGGAATTCATCTAGTTGGAAAAAGTTCTTGGATGAGGGGGGCTTATACGCTGGAAGAACGTTAACTGAAGCAAGCCTCTTAGATTCAGCTGCAGCCCTTGCCCCCACAGAAGTAAAGAACTCATTGAACTCGTTCGCCAGTTCCGTCATATCCCTTGAGTACACCGGTTTCGATTTCTCTTTTGACGGGATACAGTTCCGTATTACCTTCCACATGGCACTACTACTCTGATTGCCATTCATCTCCTTTTGAACATGGATCCTCTCAGCATCATATAGCCTTCTCTTAACCTCATTACGACACCAACGGTAATGCTCCCAGTCCGTAACAGCGCCCGACACACGAGCAACTCTGTGTACTTGGTCTCTCTCATCCATCAGCTCCTTGATCTCTTGATCTAGAAATGGACATTGCCGATTTCTGACTTTCCTTTTCCTGACAGGCGCATGACGCTCCAGGACTGCCAAAAATTTCTCATTAAAATGTTCTACTTTTTCACTAGCATCATCAATCAAAGCATTTTCATACCATGGGACTTGGGCAAGATCATTCACAAAGCTCTCAGAGTTGTAATTCTTATAACTTCTAGATATAACATAAGTAGGCAGTGGTTTCGGCGCCTTGAAATTCAGTACCGCATAAACCAGATAATGATCGCTAATGTGTGTTTCAACCACACCACTATCGGTAACTAAGGCTGAATTGGAAGTCATGATGACATCAATCAAAGACTCGGATGTTGGAGTCACCCTTGTAGGCTCTGTGATAAGTTGTTTCATATTTAAGCTGCTACAAAAGTCATTCAGCGCTCTCGATTCATAAGAACTCGTGAGCAGGTCACAGTTGAGATCTCCAACAACCAAAACGGACTTTCCATAGGTAAGAGCTTGCAAATACTGATCCATAAAATCTTCAACAAAACATGACAGCGGACAGTCAGGAGTTCTATAGGTGACACACAACAAGAATGATTTCAATTTCTTTTGCTGAACTTGTACCCATAACTGATGAAAGCCAGAATCTGAAATTCGAGAAAGATCTTTGAGGACTTTGCTTTTGAGTGATCTCCGTACATAAACACAGACACCACCGGCGCGATGTTTAAGGCGGTCAAGCCTAATCAATTTATATCCCTCAATCTCTACTTCAGCGTTCGTAACAGAGGAATTGAGCCAAGATTCCGAAACCGCTAAAATTCCATACTCCTTTTCAGTCATTAAATTCCTCACCTGTAATAGGTGGTTTCTATTCTTGATCGATTGTGCATTGAGGTGAGCTACACTGATGTTTGACTTCTGAAAGGCTTGAGTGCGTGGCGTAACCATCGCGTGACATTGCGTCACATCTGTTGCTGGACTGCCATTATTATTCATAATCGCAGTTGGTAATATGTTAATGAGATTACTTGAATTACTTCGCCGAAGGAATTGAGAATTTGATGTATTAAAACTCCGTCTTCCATTGACAATATCAA